CTGTCCAGGGCCAGTCTCGGGGGCGGGGCGCGTCTGGTTGCACTGTCCAGGGCCAGTCTCGGGGGGTGCATCTGGTTGCACTGTCCAGGGCCAGTCCCGGGGTGGGGCATCCTACCCCTCTGCACCCCTGGCACTGGCTGCCGTCCCACCCCAACCAGATCCGGTACCTTGTTGTAATAGCCGTAAGTGATGGTGTTGGGCACGACGCCCGCCCGCCTCATCTCCAGCATGACCCGCACGGAGAGCACAGGCTGCCCATAATGGGAGCACAGCTGCATCAGCACCCGGTAACACACCTGGGCCAGGAGAGGCACAGGGTGAGGGGCCTGCTCCCCACCCCGAGCCCCAGGTCTCAGTCTCCCCTGGTTCCCACAGACTTTGCTGGTCCCGGGCAGCTCCTGGGGCCACCGCACAGCACAGCCACCTGCCCTTCCTGCCACCCCACACCCTCCAGGCTCCACTGCTGTCCCTTGAACATATTCAGTGAGCGCTATGCCCCTGCCCAGCTCCCCGCCAGCTGCACAGGCCTCCCTGGGGCTGGGCGCGGCTGCCCACCTCATCGGGCAGCACCACCTTGCGGCTCTCCATCTGGCGCAGCACGTGGTAGGCCGTGTGCAGTGCCTGCACGCGGGATGGCGCCGCGCGCACGTAGGCGGGCAGACACAGGAACCATAGCCCGTAGCAGTGCCCCAGCAGGCACCGGGCCCACAGCTCAGGCACGGCTGCTGACTTCTGCGCCATCCGCTGTGCCACCTTCATCTCCTGGATGGGGCAGGGGACACCTGCGTGAGGACAGTGCCAGGCCAAGGCCGGTCTCCAAACGGTGTGGGAGACGCAGCACCCTCCCCACTAAGGAAGGCCTGTGCTCTGAGGAGGCAGGAGGGATTCTGTGCACAGGGTTCAGCCCCGGAGCCCCAGAAAGAGATGCCTAGCTCCCGAGCACGGACAGGTGCCCTGGAAGAGGCACCGAGCCCCTGGCTTCCCGGAGTGCTCAGAAGACGAAGGCACCAACAGCTAATGTTTTATGGGCCAAGCACATTGAAACCTGCTAAGAATAGCGTAGGTACGATCATACCCGTTTCACAGATGAAGAAGTGGCCTGAGTCAGATGCCTCGGTGGAGCCCATGTCCCGGTTACCTGTTTGGTACGGCGAGGGGCAGGGCTGCTGGGGGCGCTCCGGGATGGCCCTGGCACGGGCAGCGCCCCGGGCTGCTCCCGTGGGGACTCAAACAGCTCAGCCCGCAGCTCTGGGAACCCATCGTAGCTGGAGGGGCGGGAAGAGGCAGTATTAGGAGCAGCCAAGGCTCAGCCAGCCACGGGGCCTGGGAAGAAGAGTTCCCAGTACTCACCAGTACTGGGGGGCGGATTCACTGCCCTCTGGTACTGGAGGCTCCTCGGGAGGTGTGATAAAGACGGTGAGCTCACTCCCCGACAGGTCCTCCAGCTCCACCAAGGGTGTGGGCTCAGGCTTCTCCTGCTCCGGGTGCACCTGCAGCAGGGAGGTAAGAGAGCGTCAAGACAGCGGGCACAACAGGCGCCACCTCCAGGAGTCCAGGAGATGGCATCTCCCCGGAAGTTACGGCAGCAGGGAGGGAGCACGAGGGCCCAGGCTTCACCGAGGCCCTGGAGACACAGCCGGGGGATGGCGTCAGGAATGGGAGGGTGGTATGTATGGGAAGCCAGCCGCGTACGGCCACACAGGCTGTGCACTGTGTAGCTACAGGGGTGGCATCCCCGGCACGGACGAGGGGTCGAGTGCTTGCAGCAGCGACAGTAGGCACAGAGAGGGGACAGCGCCCGATACCTTGTCGACACAAGAGTCAAAGAACTCGAGGGCGGCATGCCGAGCAGAGCCGAAGGAGCACTCCTCAATGAACTGCGAGAACATCTGTGTGCGCAGGACCTGGCAGTACAGCTTGTGGCTGGAGCGCTCCCGGGATTTGAGGAAGCCTGGGGGTGAGAGTGGGGTGCGGGGGAGTAGGGGTGTCAGCAGGCCACCCGCCCCGGCCGCCCCAACCCGCTCAGCCTCTCTTGGGCCCCTCTGGCAGGACGACTGCGGCTGCTGAGCACCAGTCCCGTGGGGCCCTCCCTTCTGTCCGTCTGCACCCAGGGCCTCAGACTGGGGGTCCCCGAGGTCAGGGCCCCAGGGAGAGCCTGGCCCATGGGGCGTTTTGCCCCAAGTGCTAGGCCCCCAGAGAGCAGGGCCAATGCTGCGGCAGCCAGTGCTTCTAACAAACATTTGCCCAGCGAAGGAACAAGCAAGGGAGCGGTGCCCACCCCCACCAGCTCTGCCTGGAGCCCGGCGCGCCCCCCCCCGCCCCGCCCGCCCCCCCACGCCGCGGGCACAGGCTGTCTCTACCCTGCAGGAAGAAGAGGTTGTCGACATCTCGAGCCCCCTCCGAGGGGGCCTGGGTGAGCGGGCGCAGGAAGTCCCGGTAGCCCTTGAGCAGACAGGCCATGAAGCGGAGAAAGGCTCCCTGGACTTCACGCTCCAGCCGGGCCCGGCGGCCGCACACAGCCTCGTAGTCCGTCAGCAGGAACTCCAAGGACGCCTCCTCCTCGGGCCCAGTGTATGCTGGGGACCAGGGCAGCCGGGGTCAGGGCCGGCCTCAGCCCTGCTCCTCACGCACCCCTTGCGCCAATACTGACCACGATATTAGCAGCGGGTAACAGTTTCAAGCCTCCACAGTGACCCGTTAGCCCCCCACACCTGCACACGCATCAGAATATTAACACGGTAGGCCCGCGCTCTCGTGGAAACGAAATCCCAACACCTCTAGCCTCCTCAAGGAACGTCTAGCTCTCCACAAACCTCCCCACTTGGAGGCTTAACGTCAGTGGCGGTTTCCAGCCCCCACCCCTGCCCGGGGCTCTCACTCTGATCCAGCTGCTGGTACAAGTTTGTCAGTGTAGCCAGCAGAACCTTGTAGGGTCTGCGGGGCAGGGTCCGAGGGGAGAGGGGCTTCTTTTCCTCCGTCCTGTGAGATGCGCAGAGGGAAGAAAGGGCAGTGGGGCTCCTCGCCAGCCTCCCCCACTGCACACCAGCCCCGAGGGATGCCCAGCCCTCTTACTGGAAGAGCGTGTTGGTGTCGAGATCAACGCAGATGACGTCAGCAGGCGGGTCGTGCAGGTCGAAGTAGCTGGAGTGGATCCCCACAATGAAGGGCACGGGGGCGCTCAACACATCTGCCAGCACCAGTGGGCAGAGCGGGATGTAGGGACACTGCCAATGCAGCGGGAAGATCATCTGAAGCACCGGGGAGTGGGGACCAGTGAGCAGGGGGCTGGAGCAGCAGAGGGGGTGCAGGAAGGGGAGGGGGCATTAGCGGGGGGGTGGGGGCGGTGGGAGGGGTGCCCGTTGACGGAAGCTGCTGGAGGTGGCATCTGGAGAACAGCCCCTGACACCCCTGGGTGAGGCCGAGGGACCCACCCCCACCCCCACCCCAGAAGGAAAAGGAAGTGGAGTCTGGGCAGGGGTGGAGGCACCAGTGAGAACCTTCTGGGGAAGGAGGCCGGGCAGGGCGGCACTCACGGAGACGAGCGCCTCACAGACGCTGGTAAGCAGGTCTGGCCGCAGCGAATGGACCAGGAGCTTGTGCTCGGTGAGCACAGCCAGCAGCAGGGTGATGGCCAGCTCGGGGCCCAGGCTCTGCAGGAGCTGCAGGAAGCTGGCACCGCTGCAGGGGGGGGGGGGGTCGCCGGGATGCCCCGGAGACCCCTCCCCAGACACTGGGCGCAGACGCCGCCGGGCCTGGCCAGCGCCAACCTCCACAGCCGTGCCCACCTGCCCGGCACCTATCCGGTCCGCGGTCGTCACAGCACCCACCCCCCAACCTGGGCACGTACCTGAGCGGCAGGGGTGAGGACACGGGCTGGCAGAGGAGCAGGTTGTCATACGGAGACATCTGGGTGGCAGAAGAGCTGCAGGTCAGAATGAGGGCGGCCCCTGCCGCCACCCTCCCCCCAGCCAGCCCCACGCTGGGCCTGGCTCTCACCTGCACCAGGATGCGGGGTCTCTGTGGGGAAGGGAAAGGGACGTTGTGAATGAAGTGGGAGATGTGCCTGGGGAGGAGAGGGATACCGGTCAGCGGCAGACTCCCCAGTCCAGCCCTCCCCCTTCACCCGTGCATGAGCACCTCACGCATCCCGGAGCCCAGAGCACAGGCCCCGCTCACCCCTCGGGCAGCGGCCCCGGCACACGCTGCACACCCAGCCCCGAGCTCCACCCTAACCTCTCCCACCTCTCCCAGGCTCCCCTCCCCTCGCTCATCACCCCTCCCCAGGGCCCAGGCAGCCATGCTCACGCTTCCAAGGGCAGGCGGTGGGGGCCCGAGACGGAGTAGCGGTACAGGAAGGTGAGGAAGGCGCGGAAGGCAGGGAAGGCAGGCCAGCGCGACAGCACAGCAATGGCGCGCCGGCTGCGCACGGCCCGGCCCCCCAGGGCCCGGCCCCGCTCCACAGCGCTCAGGAGGCCCAGGGCCCGCGCTTGCCGCTCTGACAGCCTGGCCCTCGGGAAAGCCTCATAGAACTGCAGGGCAGCACCGTACACCTGGCGGGGTGGGGGTGGAGAGGCCGTCAGGCGGGCTCGGCATAGCCTGGACCCCTCAGTACACTGCCCACACCCACCTTGTCGCCAGCTGCGCCCGTGAGCACAAAGGTAGAGAAGACAGGCACGGGGTACTTGGTCTGGGCAGGCCAGCACTCCACAGTGGCTCCCATGGGCAGGCAGAAGACAGGCACGGACTCGGGCAGTGGGAACGCCTCATTGTCCTCCTCTGGGTAGCGGCCCAGCAGCTCTGCATCCCCGGCAGAGTGGGGGGGGGGGTACGAAAAGAAGGAGGGCCAGTCAGACTCCAGGGAAGGGTCCAGGAGATGCCAGAGAAGGGCCAAGTGGCAAAGGGGAAGTGCGTTCTGGGCACACTGGTGGTACCAGCCAAGAGGCACCAGGACAAGGGGACATGAAGGACCAAGGGCTTGGAGGGACGGAGGGGCAACTCACCTGCCTCGTATACCAGTGTGTTGGCCTTAGCCAGGCCCACCTTGTAGCACAGGTACACTGCTGGACCCCACTGTCCCAGAAATGACAAGAGACAGACACATAGCTAACAAAGATGTCCAGGCTCCATTTTCTCTACCACCCCTTATCGGTCTTTTGTCTTTATTTAAAAATTAAGTTTTTCTAGGTAGGCTCCATGCCCAGTGTGGAGCCCCAAAATGCAGGGCTGGAACTCACGACCCTGAGATCGAGAGTCAGATACTTAATTGACTGAGCCCACCTAGGCATCCTAGTGGTCTTTCGTCTTTAAAACTCCCAATAATCCTGGGGTACCGGGGTCGCTCAGTTGGTTGAGCATCCAGCTCTTGGTTTCGGGTCAGGTCATGATCTCAGGGTCATGAGATCGAGCCCCATGTCGGGCTCCGTGCTGGGCACGGAGCCTGCTGGAGATTCTTTCTTTCCTCTCTCTCTGCTCCTCCCCTCACTTGCTTTCTCTCTCTCTCTCTCAAATAAATAAACAAAATATTTAAAGAAAAACCTTCCAATAATCCTGGTCCCCCAAGACTAGAGTCACCCCTCTGGGCCCGCCCAGGACATCAGAGGCCCTGGTGCTAGGGTGCCCTCTGAGCCCCACGCCCAACCCTCACGCCAGCACAGTGCAGGCCTCTGCGTCTGGCCCCAGGGCCCTGCTCACCATGCCTGGGTTAAGGTTGCGGGGCAGTCGGCAGTAAGTATGAGGAGTGCCCTCGCCCTTGCTGGGCAGCACCAGGCAGAGGTCAGTGATGCCCAGGGCATGCAGCCCTGCCCCCTCTGCTGCCCGCCGGCAAGTGAGGTAGGTGCGGGGGTGCCCAGGGCCAGGAGGGGCCAGGTTGGCCGAGTGGCTGTATGGTGTTGTGTCCAGCACTTGGAAGCCAGGCTTGGGTCGTTCCTTCCCCTCATACAGGACCCTGGACACGGAAAGCAGGCACAGATGTCAAGGGCTCAGGAGAAAGACCCCAGTCCTGCCAGATCTGCCCAGTGAGTCCTACCTACCAGCCTCGCACCCTCAGCCTTATCAAACCGGGCACCAGGGCCCACTTCTTGCAGGACTCTGCCCTCCAGAACACTGTGCCTCCTCCCCTGCCCTCGGCTCTACTTCTCCATCAGTAACAACCCCTCAAGCCTTCCGTGGCTCTCACGCTCATTCATAAATGCCAAGAGGAAAAGCTTCCACTTACTGACTCCATGCCAAGTCCCGCATACGGATGGCCTTATTCAGTCTTCTCAACCACCCTGTGGGGAGGTACTCTTTCCCCGTTCTCCAGAGGGGCTCAACACCCGGCCCAAGATCCCACAGCTAGCAAGCGGCCACGCTAGTCCCCAGACCCACTCCATGTGACGACTAAGCGTGACCACCTCCCCCTGCTCCCTGCCTCTAGGCTGCTCTCTCCCTGCCCTCACCCCAGCCCCTACCTCTCCCCACCTCCCCTGGTGCCCACACAGGAGGGGCACGCACCCCAGCTCAACGAGGGGGGGCTTGTCACGGCCCCTGCGGTAGCAGATGACGGGCTGAGTTCCACCCAGGAGCCCAGCACTGAGTTCCAAGGGGTGGCCCCCCGCGGAGGACTGGATGCACGTGTAGCCCTGGGGCACCTCCTCGCCCAGCGCTCTAGCAATGACTGCCACGTCCGTGATGGGCTCGGCTGGCCGGGGAGGGCGCAGGGGCCCACTGGGTTCGGGAACCCATGTCTCCTCAGGGATGGGTGCTCCGTTCCCTGCAAGCCCAGCTATCACGAAGTAATCCACCAGCCGGGGGGGCCGCTCCTCCGCCATGGCCCCCCCCTCACTCACTGCATCTGTAACGGTCAAGTGAGGGAGAGATGAAGAAGCAAAGGAGGCAGCCAAGGGGCCCCCTCTGCTCCCTCCTCTCCACAGGCCTTCCAAGGGAGGGTAGGGTCCGCGATGGTCCGCCAACCCTGAGCTCTCCCGCCTGTGACGTCACCAGGCAATTAAAGAGACCAGGACCCTCCCGCGGGGCGGCACCAGCCCTCTCCCCAAGCAAGCCCGGCTCCACTCCCGCGCGCACAGTTGACCTCGGCTCTGACCTCATACCGCTCCTGTATCCCCTTTAAAAGCCCCACCCGTCCTCACTCCCGACAGCGGGGACCACAGTCCGTTCTATGATGGTCTGCAATGACATCATGCCAAACTGACAGTCTGTTTTAAGGGTTTCTGACCTTCCCACTCTACCGATGACATCATCAGAACCTCACGATCCAGCTAAGGTTCTTAAAGAGCGCACCTCTAGGTTTTCGGGAGGACCCCATAGGTTTCCAGGAAGGCCCACGACACCCAAGTTTTCGTGTCCTTTCACCAGACTCAAGAGTCCTTTTTCCTACCCTGTCCACTAACCCGACACAAAGCCCAGCGCCCTCCCACCTCCAGGATCCTGAAGTTAGGTCCGAAGCCGCCGTGGGAGGCAGTCCGGCCATCTGCCCTCGTTCGCGGAGCGCAGGGAGGGAGCCGGGCGCCCCACGGGCCTCCGCTAACTGTATTCTCACCTGCCGCCATGGCCCAACCCCAGAGCCGGGGCCCCGGGGGTCCCCAGAGCCCGGGGGCGCAAAGCTGGGGAGCAGCTCGGTGGGTGGTTGCAGCACAGGACTGGAGGCATGGGGCGCTCGGGAGGGGAAGGGAGGGGACTTCCCGAAACCCGGGAGGGGAAGCTGCGCGGGCGGAAGTCGGCCCCGGGGCGTGCGGCGGGGGGACCGCCGGGCCGGCAGCGCAGCCGTGGGCGCTGGAGCCGCGCGGCCCTCCTCCGCCTCCCCCTGCCCCCACCCGGGGCCGGGGCCCCGGGCGCGCCCCTCACCCCGGGCCCCCGGCGCCCGCCCAGCGGACGGGGAGCCGCGGCAGCAGACAGGGGTAGGGGTGGGGTGAGGCCCGCGGGCCGGGGGGCGCCCTCCGCACACCTGCGCGCCCGCCCCTGTCCGGCCGGCTCCCCGCGCTTTCACTTCCCCGCGGCGGAGGAAGCGGAACC